CCTAACAAACTGGGATACCTTTGGAAGACAGTGTACTCACTACTAATAATTACTCAAATACTGCTTTCCTAGGTATTTTCTCATATACCTGTGGGGGGGGGGGGGAAGTTTACAAAATAAATTAATGCCCTAATTAACAATTGGAGAAAAAGGGTGTTCCTCCCTCCCATTAAATTGCTTATTTGAAAATTAGGCTTTTAAAGTCAGATTGCTCTGGATTTAGAACTTAGCTCTGCCACAAATAGCTACTGGGAAAATCAGATTTGGGGGGGGGGGTCTTCATTCTGTTTTTTTCTTTTTATTAGTCTGGGGTTTTCTTGTTTGGTTTTGCTTTTGTTTTTTGGTACTGGGGCCTATAACACTGAGCCACACCCTCAGTCTTTCCCTTTCAATGGTAGATTACTTCCACTATTGTCTTACTAGTTCCTATTCAATGGATCTTTATCTCTTGAGAATCCTATATCCCTGGCTGAGGATGTGTCCTTTTAGAGACCATCTGTACCCCAGGGATGTCTTAGCCTAAGACCACTTGTTAATGTTGGTTCTTATCAGTCAAGTAATAAAATTCAAACTTTGTAACCACTGGCCACAAGTCCTAGGGAAGATTCCTGGTTGTGCTATCTCAAAGGCAGTCAAAAGGCAATTTTTCTTGACATTTTCTTTTGCTGGCAGGTTAGGTTTTTTTCTATTTTACTCATATGTCCTTGTACATGCTTCTTTTTCTCTCACTTTCTCTTTCTTCTCTCTTTGGTACCCAGAGGGTATTCAATAATGTTATGTAATTATAAAACTACTTCTATTGTCAAGTTTTAAATTTTATAATCAGCTATTGAAATATACAAATTCAATCTGATAGAGTAAGTTTTTTACTATACTTTGGCTTATAGAAACTTAGTTCCTGAAGTAATAATGAAAGTATGCTATTAAAATGATCCAAAGCTATTAATTAGTTTATTTATAAAGATCCAATTTATCAACCAATTCTGTTTACTTTGTGGTTTTGAATAAAATTAGAGTATTTTGGAGAAAATTACCCAAGCTGGTAATTCAACAGGTATTCTCTTTTAAATAAATTCCTTTTAACTGACTGATATGTGTTTGGGGGTAACCTCTCAAAAGGCAATGGTTTATTTAATTAGTTTGGAATAATTCTCATTCTAGCATCAGGCAAACATGAGCATCTAATTAGATGAAAAGGATTTCCTACACATGATACTTTAGAAGGGTAGTAAGCAAGAAGACTTTTAAGTTTGACACTTAATTGCTATTTGACCTGGGGCGAATCAATGACTATGGAAAGTCCTTTGCAGGATGTAAGGCACTATAAATCCATAAACCTAGTTAAAATATGTCCAAAGTATAATAATATCCTAGTCTGTTCATGGGCATCATTTTCATATACAGAAATATAGAGCTAAGTTTCTCTTCTGGCCCTAAGAATTATTAAAGCCACTGACCAAACAGGGTCCTATTTGAGACAGATGACTAAATTGAAGCTCCTCTCTACCCAAGCCAGTTGAATAACTTACTATATGTTTTAGGGTCATTATGTAATCTATCTGGGTCACCTGTGTACCCCTAGAATGCTGCAAAGGATAAGTCCAGCAGGGTGCAGAAAAAGCTCAGAGAGGAAAAATATAAATAAATGCTATAGTTTTTTGCATTGTTTTTTCCCTATGAGTGAGTAATAGTGTTACACAAAGAACCCCTACAAAGGAAAAGCTGAGGTAATTGCCTCATGATATTAGTAAATGATTTCCGCATATAAAGGGAACTAGATGGCAGTAATCCAAGCAGTCCAAAACACTCTGTGGCACTCTGTACCACAGGCACTGAAAGAACCATAGATTGCTACTGACTTAAGAGAACTTAAATCTTCCAATGGATGGTAGAAATCAGTGTACATATCATCAATAAGAAAATTTTAGGCTGACATATTATTACTTGAGAATAATTTGTGAACAAAGATAAATTATTTCCCTTGCCAACTATTCACCAAATTTTCCAGACTAACTACCTATTTAAATGAAGCCAAGATTTATGACATATTCCTTATATGCCTTCAAAAGAACCCTACATTTTCATCAAGTCATTTATGTGTTGTGTGCCTCCCCAGGAAGGCAAAGAGGCTAACTAGCTAGTATGTTCTAGGAGTTGCCCCAGAAACTAAGTTCACACAGGACAACATGAGCAGAGTACAAGACTTGACCTGAAATGTGCTCTGTGGTGTGTGACATAACAGTTTACAAAGAAAGATAACGAAAATATTATGAAATCTCAGGTGAATATTTCCCTCCAAAAGTGGCACATCTTTTTTAGGTCATTTTATAGCTGGTCAGAGCTGACATTTTTAGAAACAGCCAATAACAAGCAATAATTTAAATTCCTCCATTCTCCTATTTCTTTCAATCCCCCCTCAGTTCTTCTAAACAATACTGTCACAATTCTATTCCTCTTCCTCATTCTTGAATGCAGCTCAGAATTTTTCTAAACTTGGGTGTTTCATGGGCTATCACAGTAGATATGGAAAATAAAACCTATTTGACATCCCTGGGTTATCCTATAATACATGCTATGTGATGCTTAAACTGCAAGGAGAAATAGGGAGATTGCCAACATTCTTACCTGGTGGTTCTGAAAAGCTTGGAGAAAATGGAATTCAAATTCTAATGTGAGAACAGTAAATTCTACCTGCTAAAATGGAGGGTGCTAAAAGAAACCTTATGATGTAGTTCTTCCCACATTCCCTCAGTAAAGCAAAGTATTTGTTCTAGGCATGTGCATAATTGTTGAATGAAAGCATCAAGATCTATTGGAGAGTCTAAGTGAGAAATCACTATGTAGGGTGTTCTCAATGTTTCCTCTTGATGGGAGAGAATTCCGATCTACTTGACAATACACATGTTCCTAATTACAAATTGGGGTTTCTCAAATACTATTCAGAGATCCTCAGAACAGAAAATAAATGGATTTGGAACTTTTTATTACTCTGCTCTGCTGAATACATGTCTTATAAGAGAGGAGCACATCTTTGTAATCATGAAATTAAAAAAAAATACATAATGCAATCAAGAACTTTATGTACATCTCCAAGGCTGCAGAAAGAGTAGAACATTAGTAGTTAGAAATACAGAGGCCTACAGTGAATTCCAAAGGACTATGGTCTCATTCAGCACCAAACAGCTGTGATTTGTTTCTAGACTGGTAAATTTCCCTCAGGCAGTGACTTTTGTAAAAGGGGATAAAAAGAGATTTACACTCTTTCTGAGCATTCTCAAGATCCTTTGCTGCACTCTCACATTTAACCCAAAGCAATGAGAACAGCCTATTTACTCTGAAACTGGATTGCTTTAATACAGCTTTGGAGAGGATTATTTCGAAGAACTACATGTCCTGTTGCTCCCTACCCTTTGCCATTTACTGCAACTGAACCCTCTACCACTCTGCAGTAGAATCTGCCAACAAGAAATGGCTACTAAACTGAGAGSCCCCTTTGTCCATGAGGACCCAATTTGTGCTATACTAATGTGGAAGGGAACCCATCCAAGATTTTGAATGAGTGGGTCTGAAGTATGCATCATTACAGACAAAAATGCCTTATTGTGATGGTCTGCTAGAGGTATCTTGTGTTACATTTTGAGCAACACTTGAAGCCACAGAGCTATTTCTCTTTCAGACATATTGACACCACAGATGTGAAGGAAAAAAGCACACACAGTTCATGAGCTCACAGCACACCCAAATGCTCTGAAAGTTAGCCAAAATCTGCGAGAAAACTATTAATGAGTCTGGATGAGAGAATAGGCTCAGTATGAATAGTTCGACAACGTGACAACTGTGAATAAAAATCAAACACAATAATGCAACTTTCCTAGGAATCTCCCCATAGACATGCTAGGCCAAAACAGTATGGGGGAAAATTTTCTCCAAAGATTTCATTAGCAGAATATGACACTACAGAGACAGACACCGCATTGAGGCTCGGAAATAGATTTACTATGTTTAGTCTCAGACACCTATGTGAAGATCTTGTCTGGGATTGATCTAAATATATATATATATATTTTTTAAAGGTTTTAAAAAACTTTGGCAAAACTTGACATAATGGTGCATGCTTTCCAGCGGCCTGGGAGGTTGAAGCAGGAGAATTCCAAGTTCAAGGTCACCCTCAGCAATTTAGCAAGACCCTAAGCAATTCAGTGAGACCCTATCTCAAAATAAAAATTAAAAGGGCTGGGGTGTGGCTCAGTGGTTAAGCACCCCTATCAGTACCCTCCCCCTCAAAAAAAAAAAAAAAAAGGAGAGGAAAAAAAGAAAAACTGTGGCAAAGATTCTGCACAGACTAGATAACTTAAGGTTGCTGCAGTCATTTCTCAAATAGGAAGCTGTAACTCTTAAATTTACCTGAGGGGGCATAAAGACTCTAAGTCTGCTGAGGGAATGGAATAAAGATATCTAATTCCTACTGATCTCAGGACCCCATTAGAAAAAGTAGATTCTGAACAAACTAAAATGTATATAAATATATCCATACACTAACACATTTCCACATTTTTACATATCTGCACAAGTACACTCCTATAGTCTTTAATGACACACAAAATCCTGTTTCAAGTACACCTACTACTATTACTGTTGCAGAGATGGAGTAAATATATGATTATCGGACATATTTTGGGTGTCCATAAAAACACTATTTAATCACAGCAGGGCCCTGACCTGTGTTTATTCATGACTACATGAATTTAGGGATTAAAAAGGAAATGCTGGAAATTCAGAATAAAAGTTTTTGTTTTTTAAAAAGCTTTACTCTTAAGGCTTCTTTTCATGTGTTATTTATAAGGTGATAATCAAAACCTGCCACCTTCAGAGTATGTTCTTATATAATTTTGATGATGCAGAGTGAGTTCCACCTTCTATTTCCAGAAAGAAAAGGCAGAATTTACCTCAAGAACATCAAGATAGTAACTGTTAGAGAGAAAGGGTTTTGATAAACTTACCAGGAGGCGTACAAGCATCTGCAGGAGACTGGACAAATGTGGACCGCCTTTTGGTGGGCATGGGCAAAGCCATTTTTTGTTCCTTATGTTTTGCCAGTGCAGCTTGAACTGCTTCTGTGTGGATATCTGAAAAGTCAAACAGTTGCATTTATTTGCAATTATTCTGGCTTGTAACATGTTTACTGATGTAGACTGAACTATTTATTGCTGCCTTAATTATTAAAAAACGTAAAGGGGATGTGTAGGTGATTTTTATTAATCTTTTAATTTACACCAATTAAAAAGAAAAACCAAAAATAGGAACAAAAGAAGTCGAGGACAATTTAACAAAGGAGAAAAATGAATCCAGAATGATTATGTGACTGACATACCAGACAAGAAGTTGACTGAGATGGGGGGAGGGGTACAGTCTAACATGCATCTATGCCAGGAGCAAATCCCACCTCTAAGTGAAATGAGTGCTGTGCAGGTGCCTAGAGGAGACTCATTATTTTTCAAAAATAAGAAGCTTAGGGTTTGCTTAACTGTCTGAAAGAAAACTTGGTTGAGACCCCTCAGTTCTATGCCACAGGAACACAAGGGATGATTTTGATCTAGAAAAATATAAGGACAGATGTTACTTGTTTGCCACTTTGGCTACAAAAGAATTCAACTCTACTTGCTCTTCCTCCTAACAGGAATCTCAAACATATCCAAACAAAACTCTTGATTTTCCATTCCCACTGTAAATTCACCCTGCATTCCTATAAAACAGGATCACACTGTATACAATATTTTGGGTTCTGCTTTAAAAAAAAAATTCTTATAAAATGCTGAGAGGTTGAATAACTAACTGAAGTAAGATAACAACCAAAGTGGCTTTCCCAGTTCACAACAATTTCTTGTTTAGGAATGGCCTCAGTCTACATGCTATCCATCCTTCCTTTGAAGCCTCTCTCTGAAACGTAATTGTGCCCTCAGAAAAGATGATCCAATCAGATCCTTCTTTAGGGAATTTAAACTGAATCAGGAACTGAAATCCTAGGGCTGAGTCACACTGATGACAGTGCACCAAAAAGAAGAAAGGCCTTGAATTTCAAGGTGAGATTCTCCAAAGTTCTCTCAYCCTTTCTAAGGATTTCTCAGTTGTTCTATTTGCTTCTGTGGCCTACCTCCAGCTATTTTAGGTAGCCTGAGTTAGCATCTGTTTCTTGCAACAAAGAAAATCTACTAACAAAACTAGAAACGTCATACTACATAGAGGTACAACATAATTTTAAAGGGCTCCACAATATTTCACTGTAGAAATGTGCCATTGTTCAAGCTTCCCCTTAATATTAAATGTTATGTTATTCCTATTTTTTTGCTACKATTCATAGCAAGAATGATTCAGTATTTTTACCTCAATACACAGTCTAATAATTTCTTTAGGACTAACAACATGAATTGCTGAGATCAAATATAAGCACTTCTTATTCTAGAAATACTTCAATATGTATTTCCTTAGAACAAACAATTTTCTAATACAACCACAGTACATTTATTCAAATCTAGAAATCCATCATTGATACACACTATTATCTAACTCACAATTCATATTCCAATTAAGCCAACTGTCCCAATAATGTCCTACTGTTCCTTTTCTCCTGATTGAGGATCTAATACAGGATCACACATTATATTTATTTGTCCTATGTCTTTTTTTCTCCTATAATCTAGAATAGTCTCAGTTTTCTGTCTTTTATAACCTTGACATTTTGGGACAAACTGACTGTCAAATATACCTTAATTTGAATTTCTTTGATATTTTCTCATAATTAGTTATGCATTTTGGCAGGGATATCATAGAAGAAATGTTTCTTTTTCAAAACATGATGTCAGGTAGCCTCTGCTCCATTACTGATGATAGTTTAAGTACTTCATTAAAATGGTAACTGCTAGTTACATCCAGTAATTTAGTGAGCCCGTCTCAAAATAAAAATTTTTTTAAAGGGATAGGTATATAACTCAGCGGCAGAGCACTCGCCTATCTTGTGYAAAGGCCTGGGTTCAATTTCCAGAACTGCAAGAAAAAACAATCAAGTCAATGGGGCACAATGATACACAACTATAATCCCAGCTATTCTGATGGCTGATCAAAAATCCAAGGCCAGCCTGGGCAACTTAGTGAGAAAACATAAAACACAAAACAGGAAATTTAAATTAAAGGACTGGAGATGTAGCTCAGTGGTAGAGCACTTGCTTAATATGCATAAAGCCCTGGGGTTGATTTCTAGTACTGTGATTGCTCAAACAATCAATTGATTAATTGATAGACAATTTTTTTTCATTCATTTATTCCAAGTTCATCTAGTACTTTCTAGCCCTGGAATTGAATACATTTTTCCCAAGAGTACTAGCTTCTTTTAGTGAAGAATAAATGGTATTTAGAAACTGAGAGCTTGAAAATAGGGGTACTCAGTATTCTTGGGTCATTTTTATTCTAAGCCTTTTCAGAATATAAGGGAATATAAATATAAACATGTATTTATACAAAAATCTATTTTATCCATATCAATACTGAAAATAGTGAGTTCAAACTATTATTCTAATTCCAATTCAACACAAAATCCATTCTAATTTCTCCCTGTCCATTTGTAATAGTAAGAAATCTAGTTCACAATATTCTCAATATTTTATTTTACCTGTTGACTAAACACACTGTCATTTATTTCAAAATTGGTATCTCAGGGTTGGGGGTGTGGCTCAGTGATAGAGCAAAGGTCCCGAGAACAAGATAGTTTTACAACTGCTTGAAGTTAGGAATCTACAATCACATTCTGATGGATTTCTGTCCCCTCCCCCAATCCCTCATACTGCAGATTGAATCCAGGAGTGCTCTACCACTGAGTTACATTCCCAGCCCTTTTCATTTATTTTATTTTGAAACAGAAACTCAAACAACCAGGCACCATGAAGGAAAACAGACTAAACAAGTATCCTCTGAAACTGAAAAGACTGATTAAAAAAATAAGAAAGAGGGTTATTCAATGATGGAAAAAAAGAAAGAGTAGAGCCAATTGCCTCAAACAAAGGTAGTGGGTACCTATAACAATTTCAATGACAATATGGGAAAAACACAATTGGCTGGTTTAGTAGAGGTAAAAAAAAATTAACCTTTATTCACTTGAATAATTGAAATGTGTCTCACAAATGCACGAATTAGAAAAACTCTGAGTGAATCAGATGTAACTTTCCTGTGTGCTGGTATAAATGCACTACCAACATAACTCTACATYATATACAACCACAGAACAGGAAGTTATACTCCATGTATGTATAATATGTCAAATACACTCTACTGTCATATATATGTAAAGAGAATAAAAACTTTTTTAAAAATAAATGCATGGATTATTCACAAATTTGTGACAAAGACAAAAAAATTAATTTTTTTGTCAAGAGACATCTGTTTGACACACACAAACCAATGCCACAGAAATCATCAGGAGAACAAAGAAAGTATACACTCCCAGACCTATTACTGTCCAAAATGATACCAGATTTGATATGAGAAGCCGTATTACTTTCAAAAAGGCAAGAATGATGACAATGTCAAAACAGTCCATGCCATGTGAAACCAACAACTTATTGTCAAAATATACATAACCCTTTGGAACTTAATGGGTTAAAATGTCCACACCCAAACCAAACTACAGATTTAATGCACTCCTTTTCAAAATCCTATTTGAATTTTTTGCAGAATTAACAAAAATCCTAAAATTTTTATGAAATCTCAGTGGACCCCATATAGCAAAAATAATCTCCAGAAAGAGGAACAAACTAGGGGGGCCTTACACATCCTAATTTCAAAGCTACAATAATCATATGAGATAAGGCACATTCATGGAGGTATGACCACAGACATAAAGCTACAGTAATCAAAACAGTAATAGTACTGGCATAAAGACTGACATATACAGACCAATGGAACAGAGTCCAAAAATAAACCCTGGAATTTATGATCAAATAATCTTCAACAAGGATGTAAAGACTTCATAATGGAGAGAAGACAGTCTCTTTACTAAATGTTGACATAAAAACTACATATTCACACTCAAATGAATGAAAATGAACCCTTATCTTACACCATATACAAAAAGTAGCTCAGGATGGATTAAAGATCTACAAGTAAGACCTGAAACTAAATTAGAAAAAAACATAGAAGGAAAGATTATGTTGGAATGGGCGATGATTTCTTGGATTTGGAACCAAAAGTCCAGGAACCAAAAGCAAAAAATAGACAAACTTCGTCAAACTAAAAATTTCTGCAAGGCAAAGGAAATAGTCAAGAAAGTAAAAAGGCAACCCACATGATGAAAGAAAATACTCTCRAATCATGTATCAGATAAAAAGTTAATACTTAGGATACATAAAGAATTTCTATAACTTCACAAAAATGAAACCTCAATAATCCAATTTTTTAAATGGGCAAAGGACTTTGTTGTGTTTTATATCCTATATGTTCCCCAAAAGTTAGTGTGTTAAAGGCCTATTCCCCAGGTAATGGTGCTGTTGGGTGGTAGGGGAACATTTAGGAGATGGGTCCTAATTAAAGAGTTAGCCTATTGGGGGAGTGCCCTTGAAGGGGCTGTTTAACCCCAGCTCCTTCCCCTCCCTGTCTGCTTCCTTGCCACAAGGTGACCAGCTTCCTCTGCCATATGCTCCCTGCCATGATGTATTACCTCACCACAGGCTCAAAGGCAAGAGCCAGGCAATCACTCACTAAAGAATCTGAAAGCAAAATAAATCTTTGCTCCTTATAAGTTGACTTTTCTTAGATATTTTGTCACAGCATCAGAAAGATGTATAATAGACTTGAATAGCTATTTTTTCCAAAGATGATATACAAATGGCCAATAATCATGAAAAGATACTCAGCATCACTRTCARGGAAATACAAATCAAATCCACAGGAACTATATCACCTCACACCTATTGGGCTGCTCATTATTAAAAAAAATAATAATAATTCAATAGACAAGAGAAAATGACAAATGTTAATGAGGATGTAGTGAAACTGGACTTTGTATATACTGCTGAYGGGACTATAAAACAGTACATCCTTTATGGAAAACAGTACTGGAATTCCTCACGAAATTAAAAAT